CATGGATGGATGGATGCATGGATGGAAGGGCTGTTGGGTGGATGGATTGATGGATAGATGGGGGGATGGGTGGGCTGTTGGATGGATGGATGGATCAATGGGTGGGTGGATGGGTGGGTGGATGGATGGGTGGATGGATGGATGGGTGGGTGGAAGGATAGATGGGTGAACTGTTATATGGATGGATGGGTGGGTGGATGGATAATGGATGGATGGATGGATGGATGCCTCCCAAGGGCTGGGGCTGTGGCATCCACCCTGATAGGTGAATGAGTGAATGGAATGAAGGATCCAGGCAGAGGAGGGTTCCTGGCTGGCTGGAGGCGAGGCAGGTTCTTTTTCTCCTCTGACTCAAGGCCAGGGTCCCACAGTCCTGGCAAGTCCTTCACTTTACCTCGCATACCAGAGGCTCAGGCAAGTCTCTCTCCTCAGCCCTTCTTGGACTCCAGACCTAGACAGGGTCATGGGAACCCAGTTATCTCTTCAGAAATATGCCAGCAGAGGACAGATCTTCCCCTTGGAAAGCCCCAGACAGCTGGCAAGCCCCAGAGAAGGAAGACGGGAGGCTTGATCCCAGGTCAGTGCCACGAGCAACCCCCCACTCAGCCCCCCGCCATTGCTCCTCCCTCCCTAGGCTTCCCCAGGGCTCTCCTCATGGAGCGCAGCTCCTCAGGAGGAATCCTCTCACAATCAAGTCACACCGGTGCCCAGGAAGAGGTCCCATCCCCAGAGGCACAGGCACCAGCCAACCATAAGGGGCACAGCCATGAGCCAGAGAGGATGGACAGAGGCCAGGAGGTGGGCGAGGACTGACAGGAACTGGTCTAAACCAGACTTCACAGGATTGGTTCTGAGCTTTGGAGGAAGTCAGTGGTTCACACCTGGTGAGTTAGAGTGCCTGGGTGTCTGGATGCTCAGGCATCTTCTAGGGGAGTCTGATGCTGAGTACCCAGAAAGAACAGCCCCCACACTGTGGCCCCTCAGGGGACAGAGCCCAGCACCGCCCCACAGAGATACTCAAAACAACAAGACTGTGACTTCCTGTCTTTTCAGCTGAGGCCCTAGCCCCACACCCCTGCTTGGTGAGCTCTGGGGCATTTCCTACCTAGGCACATGAGGATTCCTCGAGTCCCTGAGGAAACTAGTTATGCTCCTGGCCTCCTCAGGTGCCTTCCCTTCCAGAAGCTTCCAGAAACTTCCATCTCTTCTATCCCCCACTTTCCTTCCTCCATGGAACATGTGATGCTTCTCAAGAGAGGAGATGTTTCCTCCCTTTACTGCGTGAGTTGATTTAGGGTCTCTTCCATGGGGTCAGACACTGAGAGCTTGAGTCCTGGCTTTACCACTGATCAGCTGCATAACCCAATCTGTCGGACCCTCCACTTCCTCTTGGTGACAGGGGCCCAAGGACGTTGGCCAATGGGAGGACTGCACGAGAAGGCACCAGATAGTGGTTCTGCTGTTAATCCTGCTCCCCACACAAGCACAAGCACACAGCTGACTTCTTCTGTGCCAGAGTCACAAGGGCCAAGGGAAGGCGCTGCCCACAGAAGAACCCTCAAGACATCTTGCGTCAGCCTCACCTCTGGACCAAATCAACAGCTCCTGTGGGATACTTGGCACCACTGTGTCACCCGTTAAACTTCCTCCTGGATCAGGGGGTTCCCAGAACAAGGGGACATTTCCTGGGCCCAGCTACACTGGGAAGGAAGGAAAGCCAGGCTTGTGGGCGGGGCCCCCACCAGGGAGCCAAAGGCCTAGAGCAGGCGCAGCTGGGACAAACCTAGAGACTGCTCAAAAGTGGACAAAATGAGACTCAGGAGAAGGGTGCTGAATGCTCCAGGGTCACATGACAGACGTTACCTGCCCTCGTCACTTGACCCTCGTGCCATCCCAGCCAGGGAATTCACGTAATCTTCTTTGCACACACGCGTACAATTTTAATAACTTTTGAAGGTGTCTCATTCTCAGACCTGACCTATGACCACTTTGTTCCAGAACTTGTTTATTGCAACCTTTCTTTTAATGGAGGTGACACACATATAACCTACAATTAACCATTTGAAGTGTATGGGTCAGCGACACTTAATTCTCTCGCAGTGTTGCACAACTCCAAGCTCTCTCCATTTGGTAAAGTTTTCATCACTGCATAAAAACACCTCACGCGCATTAAGGAATTGCTCCCCATTTCATCACCTGCCCCTGACCTCTAATAACCTCTCTTCTCCTTCCTGTCTCTGTGCATTTGCCTGTTCTGGTTGTCACACATCAAAAGACAACATGTGGCCTTGGGGGTCTGGCTTCTCTCACTCAACATATTTTCACACTTCATCCCTCTGTCAAACATGCAACAAGATTCATTCTTTTTATGGCTGAGTAATATTCCACTGCACCATAGACCAGGTTTGTTTATCTATTCATCCACTGATAGGCATTTGGATTGTTTCATTATTTCTAAGTGCAGAAAAAAAATTGAAAAAAAAAGTACAGCCGGGTGTAGTGGTGCACACCTGTAATCCCAGCACTTGGGAGGCTGAGGCAGGAGGATTACTGTGAGTTCAAGGCCAGCCTAGGCTACATAGTGAATTCAAGGGCAGCTTGAACTATGTAGGGAGATCTTGTCTCAAAAAAAGAAGAAAGAAAGAAAGAAAGAAAGAAAGAAAGAAAGAAAGAAAGAAAGAAGAAAAAGAAAGATTCTCAGATTGAGACCCAAGGCTCTGACTTGGTCTTTGGTGCGGGGTGGACCCTATGCAGAATGGAAATTTTGCCTGGTTATTTCATATTATTGTCACTTAACTTGTTCCCCTATCCCCTGTAAATCCTGTGATTTGAGGCCGAATGTTTTAATAGATAAGCTGTCTTTCTGTTTCTTTTTGGTATGAATTTATTTATTTATGTTAAGTTATGTTGTATTTTTACTTGACACATAGTAATTATATATTTATGGGGTAGAGACTGGTGTTTTGATACATATATACACGAGTGTGTTTTTCTTAATTCTTTCTTTGTTTTTTGGAGTGGTACTTGGGATGAAACCCAGGGCCTCATGTTCACTAGGCAAGCACTCTACCGAGGCGCTACAACCCCAACCCAGTTCTCTCATTTGCAATTTAATGTCTGAGTCTCTTAGAAAATCTTGGTTTCTAATACTTACTCTTTGTTTCACTGATGACACATATAAACTACCTTCAGAGTTACCATGTAATCATTACTACTGACAGTAACCCTACTAAGTAAATCTTTAGATGTTTGGCCGTTTTGTTTGCCCACTGCAGAAGTATGAGCAGGGTATTTTTTTTTTTTAATTTATTTAAATGGGACTTTTTCTTTTCTTTTCTTTTCTTTTTTCCAGTACTGGGAATCGAACTCACAGCCTTGCGCTTGCCAGGCAGGCGCTGTGCCCCTGAGCTAAATCCCTACCCCCTAAATAGGACTTTTTCTGTTCTGTGGTCAGGCTGTCTAATTTACAGTTTGGTTTCCACATTCCTGTTAGTGCATGATTCAGACGTTTACCTCTTCCTTATTTTTTATTTAATTCGATTTAATTTTTTTGAACCTTTAAACCATGTACAAATTATATGCAAATGATCCAAAACACAAAACTATACGAAAAATCTTATTTGGAGATTGACATGTTCTCATCCTCCTACATTAGTTTCTGGTTTATTCTTCCTGTATTCATTTTTATATGTGTGCAGGCATGTGTATGTGTGTGTGCATGTGTACATGTGTGTACATGTGCATGTGTGGGCATGTGTAAGCACACAACAACATATTACTATTTTCTCTTTCTGACCCAGTGTGTGCTCATGGTATGGACGGGAACCTACAGTCTTGAGTGAGAAAACAAATTTAAATTAGACAAATGTGCTCCACTCTGCAGACTGTGAATTGAGTTTATCCCACAATCCCGCTGGGTCTCAGTTTCCTTGTGTGTGAAATGGCCTAAAAAACGCCCACCTTATTCAAGCCAGTAGTCCCAGCAGTCTGGAAGCCCAGACAAGGAAACTTACTTATATGACAAGACCCCGTCTCAAAATTTTAAAAATAGCAAAAGCTGGGGATGTAGCTCAGTGTGAATGCCTTAAGTTCAATCTCTGGTACTGGGACAAAAACAACCACCAAAAAACTACCAAGATTGAGGACTTTCTTGTATCACACAGAAGGTTAAATTCTTGATAGCATAAGGAGTGAAATGTGCAAAACAAGCTAGAAGAACACTTATAAAATATTTTTTAAAGGGATTTAAACCTCACTGTGCCAGTACATAAGCCCGAGGACCCACAAGGATCAGATGGAGGTAACGTCATGAAAAAGTAAAACATCTCAAAAGCAAAGGGCACCTGCTTGATGATAAAATACATGAACCAGAAAAGTGACTTTGTTTGCAGTGGGCTTAAAACACAGCAGATACAAGTGCTTTGAAGAACTGTCTGGCAGTGTCTAGTAAAACTTAGACATACAGCTATCCTATGACCTGGTCACTGGGGCCCCAAGTAACTACATACGAGGAATAAGAACGCGAGAGGAACACAATGTTCACAGCATCTTTATTCGTAATAGCTCCAAACTGGAGGCCATGCATCTGCCCATCCATAAGGGAACAGACAACTGCTGTGTGGCATGATCGTCCTTCAGAGTCGCAGGATACACTCTCCAGAACTCACCACCCCCAAATTGCAGATGGCTTAAGTCCCTTATATAAAATAGCATAGTACTCACCTACATCCTACGCATATCCCCTTAGATGCTTTAGATCATCTCTAGGTTACTTACAAAATCAAACACAATATAGATGTGCTGTAAGTAATTCTTAACATTGTGTTGTTTAGGGAATGAAGACAAGGAGAGAAGTCTACGGGGAATTATTTCCAAGTATTTTCAATCCTCAGTGCTTGGAATCTGGAGGGCTGACTGTATCCTCACAATGGAGTACTGTTCATCCATAAAAAGGAACCCACTATAGATACGTGTAGCAACATAGGCGGATTTCATAAACGATATATTGAGCAAAAGAAGTCAGACTTAAAAGAGTTTATCTGCACGATCTCATTACATGAAGTCCAGGAAGAGACCTATCTCAAGAGATAGAAATAAGGACAATGGCTGCCCTGCGGGGTATGAGCTGGAAAGGGGCCCAAGGGAAGATTCAGGAGTCCTGGAGACCGTGTCTATCTCCGTCGGACCAATGACTACGTGGGTGTACACAGCTGTCAGAACCCTTCAAAATTCCACATGTCAGATCTGTATCTTTAACTGTGTGTAAAACATACCTCAATAAAAGACAATGAACTGAACATATAGAAAGAGCCCCTCAAAATCAACAAGAAAAGGAAAATAAGTATTACAGAAAAATGGGCAGAGATTATAAAGAATTCATTAGGGATGAATCCTACATGTCTAACACTTGAGGAAAAATGTTTGGCTTCACTGCAGAGCTGGGAAATGCATGCTAAAATGTTAAGATTGCATTTTTGACCATCAGCTTGGCCAAAGTTAGAAATATTAGTGGCATCAAGTGTTCACCAAAAAAGTCAAATGATCAGTTTTATGTGCTATAAATTGGTGGAGGTTGTTCAAAGGCAATTTGGTAGTATCTATCAAAATTTAAAAGTACACACCCTGTGAAATTTACATTATCTTAGGGAACAGGGACATGTGCATAACACTTCTTGATTCTTCATTTCCCTTCGCACCCACACCTCCTTCCCTCCATCTCTAGATCCCATTTTTGTTATTATTATTATTATTTTAGTTCATGTTTATAACTCAAAATTTTTATATTCATTGTAGGTATTTGGTACTTGCACATGACGCATCTTAAATTTCTGTACTATAAGAAAAGGCTTGTGCCTGCCTGGCAAGGGCAAGGTCCTGAGTTTGATTCCTAGTACCAAAAAAAAAAAGAGCCCTCTCTATATGTGCCAGTATGAAAGGACATATAAGTGAGTTGCATTTTGCAACAAAATGCAAAAATGTAAAACACAATCTCATCTACAGAATAAATACCCAAGCACATATAATTTCATGGATCTCTACATATATACTCAGAAAGGGCCTAAGGGAAATGTACTTTCAGCAACAATCAGGTTACTTCTTCTTTTTTTTTTTTGGTACCAGGAATCGAACTCATGACCTCAGGCTTGCCAAGCAAGCTCTTATGCCACTGAGCTATATCCCCAGCCCTAGGTTACTTCTAAGGAGGGAATAAGCATTTAGCAAAGGAGATGTTTCCTGTATTCTATTGTATATTTCTAGTATTGTTTTTATAATAAATTCCTGTATCTTTGGTGTAATTTTTAAAATAAACAAAAGGGTTTTGACAAACACTCAGACGAGAATAAGGGTTTATTAAGGAATCGTTAAAAATTCTCTGCTCACTTAATAGCTGTCCAGCTCTGTGGAGGGAGGGGCCCGAGAGCGTGTGTTGTGCTCAAATCCCTGCACACTCAGTCACCTCAGAGGGATCGCATGATGCTGAACATCCTAAATACAGTCCCCACTGTCACCCAGCACAGGCTGAAAACCTGTGGCAGGACCAGCAGGCGAGGGTTCCAATGTGCTCCCATGTGCGTGCTGTGGTGGGGAGTTCTTTCCCTGAAAGTTAATAATATGGGTTAACAATCGCTTCCCCAAAACTGGGAGCCACATGTGTTCTGAAAAATCACAAATGCTGCTGGGCGTGGTGGTGCATACCTATAATGCCAGCACTCGGGAGGCTGAGGCAGGAGGATCACTGCGAATTCGAGGCTAGCCTAGGCTATATGGCGAGCTCAAGACCAGCCTGAGCTGTATAGTGAGAAAATGACAAATGTTCTGACTTTGATAGGTGTTATTGTGCAAAATGTGTGTGTTACATAAAGCTCTTGGCTGGGTCTTGTAGTCAAATGTACCATCATTTGGCAAGGACAGGCTCAAATATTCTTACCAAATACAAAGCCAGGGACAGGTCAAGCAAGATTCTGCTGCCAAATGCCAGTGCAAACTCTGGGTTCTGAGCCCTGTGGGTATTTGAGAATTGTGGGTAAGGGCACCATCCCTAACTAGGTCTCACCTTTTAAAGGCCATTTCTGATGACATCCTGTCGCCTGCTCTTTTTAATTCCCCTGTCCTGTCATAGTTAAGGGGCACGGCATGGGTGTCCCCAAAACCTTGCCAGTTCGGTGTCGCAAATGAGACCCGTCCGTGGACAGATCGTGTGGAAATTAGGAAGCACGAGGTTCCTGTCAGCAGCATTTGCGTTTTCCATTTTCTATTCACTGGTAGCAAATGGTAAAGGACAAACTACTAGAACATCGTCACACACACGCCCACAGGGTGTGTCAGGTGGCAGGTTGTGGCAGTCACCACAGAAATCCAAACCAGCTCATGGAAGCCAGCTCTAGGACAGCCACGTCTGGTGCAC